TTATTATATACGCGCAGTATAGACGGAACAACTGTGAAAAATATTTCACACTCACAAAAACATGAGAAAGAAAATCACGGGATAATTTTGAGAGGCTGTTTCAGCGTAACCTTAACTAGTAGGTGAGCTCACGGGGCTCAAACTGGAGTGATAGCAACACTGACTCTAGCAAGAGCAGTGCTTCGCAGATTCTACCACTGTATCGGAAACGTGACCCACTGAGAAGATCCGGCGAGAAACTCAGTGGGCTGTGTCTATGGATTAATTCGCTCGTCAAGCCTTTCGTCGCAAGCGACGGGTTCGACGAGGACGGTGACCGGTGCTTGTGGTGCCTAAAAGCACCGTTAATGGATCAAGAGGATACGTAATGACGCGCTTTGGGCGATGTCGACGGTTTACCATTTGGTCTATAGGATCGGGTATGTAGTTTCCAGCTGCCACGACAAGAGGGTTCTTATGTCGTACCGCCTTCTCAAAGTGGCGCCGAAGGAATTCCGATACCGGGAATCGAACCCGAGCCTCCTGGGTGAGAGCCAGGTATTCTAGCCACTAGACCATATCGGATAATAAGTATTGTTTAAATAATTGATATAAACATTTTGGTCTATAGATAAAGACTAAGACAAGGTGGAGGGAGGTGGAGGGACGTAGTGCTGAAGGACAAGAGAGAATGCAATGTTGCTGACGAGGATGTTCAAGACAGAGCGAAGTGGAGGAGTAAAGTCAGGAAAACTGACCCCACCACCATGTGGGATAAATAGCTGGGAAGAGAGAGAGAGAGATAAAAACTCCAAGAAAAACAACAAAAATGCGCGGATCATGTAAATGCGATTCTATCGAAAAATTGTACCGATATGTCGAGATTTACAGCGTTGATAATAAAATTCCAGCACAAGGCCCTTGATGGATGACCGCCAATGAACCGTTCGTAGTATTGTTACGCACATAGAACACTTGTTACCTTGTCTTCGAGTACTTTTTAGTTTATAATAATCAAGTGCCTCTGTCAGTGTTATCGAGACATTTACAATACTTAATACTCAGTACAATATTCAAACAGGCAAATAATAAATATCACTTTTTTTTTCTCACCTATGCTGATTGATAGCCTTGAGAGGCTATATCAGATTCGCCCTAACGTGTAAGTGAGCTCACGAGGCTCAAACCGGAGTGGTGCTAACACTGGACCCCAGCAAGAGCAGTGCTTCGCAGAATCTACCACCGGATCTGAAACGCGATCCACAGAGAAGATCCCGCGAGAAACTCAGTGGGCTGTGTCTGTGGGCTAATTCTTTCGTCGAGCCTTTCGTCGCAAGCGACTGGTTCGACGAGGACGGTGCTTGTGGTACCTAAAAGCACCGTTAATCGATCGGGAGGATCCGTAATGACGTGTAAATATCACATTAACGTAATGTTAGAACAAAGTCAAATAGTTCAGTGATCGTATTCCACTTTATTTATACAATATGTGCCGCTATGTGTATCATAGTCCATACCGGTAGGTATAATGGACTTGCCTATTTCGATCGCGAAGCAGTCGTGAATTTCACTTGGAAAAACAGAACAGCATATTAAGTGTATAATCTATGAGAACAGCCATTATTAGCTTGGCCATCATCGCTCATGGACGTCCGCGACGTTAGGCGTATATATAGTAAATAGTCAAGTCAACGCCTACTGCTTAAAATATAAACGTTACATAACTTCAATAGCGATGGAGAAGCTATAAAAAAACCTTACCTAATATTGCCATGTTTACGAAACTCTGAAATCACTTAAGTCAGGCGTGCCGCAAATGAGTCCAAATGATCTTACTTTAAACAGTATTATTCTCCAAAAAGTATTAACACTGCATTTGACAGAACTCATTTAATCGACTTAAAACTTGTCAAAAATAGTATAACCCACACAAAATTATTAGTTAAAAATTGCAAAAGGAAAGGTTTATCAAAAATGGAGTCTAATGACTTTCGTCCATACTTTATACTGATCAGAAAGGAAGAGGAGAAAGGAGACAGGTTTGCAAGAATCAATATGGAAGTGAAACATCAAGCTATCGACGAACAAATCAATCCGTTTACAAAAAAAACTGTATACACGCAGACTTACCCAACGAAATTGATTCCAGCGGCACCAAGAAAGGCTTGCTGCTTTTATTGCTCTTAAAGCACTGTTCATAAAATATATTCAATTAGTAGTTATGCAAAACAGGAATGCGGATATCTCTAAGAAAAAAACACTACTTCATTTACTCTGCATCGTTTGGGCGAAGAGTCTTGGTAATGCTCTTGGAACGTCAATAAGAATATTAACTTGCCACAAGATGTCTACAAATCCGTACTTAATTTGTTTACAATCATACAAATATTTAGCACAGTATCTTTCTTTGGATTTAAATTTGGGCAATAATATATCCGAAATAAATGGTTAAATTGGATAGCATAGGGTTTATTTGGACGATTGTCATCATGAATATCAGAAAATTAAGAGTGTGTAAAGAATATAAATTGTACCAAAATATATTTGTTCGTATTTTTATTCATCATAGCATAAGATTTATTATTTTCACGGCTAAGGATTTATCGATCGAGACATGACATATTTATCTGTTCGATATCTTTTTCTTTTATCTTTAATTTGTTTACCTGTATTTTGAAATAAAAGATAATTTTATACTGTAAGAGAAGTAAAAGTTATTATTATTATTGTAAAAGTTATTATTTAATAGTGTCGTTTTCTCGTTGAGCAATGTCGGACATGGCACGTACATATAAGTAAGAATGACTATGCCCAGTATTATATGTAAATTGAGCAACGTCACGTAACCGAATGAAGCCTTTTACATGATTCCCGGAACATAAACTTTTTGCAAAATCGTAATTTTTTCAAAAGTTCAATTATTTACCGGATACCCTTTAGTACCAAATTACAGATGTAAATAAAGTAAGCAAGAAAAATTATAAATAAAATTGTGTTTGTTGGATCTGTAAAGTGGATTTTTGTTGATACAGTAAAAATGAAAAGAAGAAATAGGACGTATTGTAAACAGCAATTATAAAAATTGCTAATAATATGATTGAATTGGATTAATAATATGATTTCAGCGGCTTACTTCGGTTGCTTCAACACAACGAGGTATACTTTTTTTTTATTTTTATTTTTTATTGCTTAGATGGGTGGACGAGCTCACAGCCCACCTGGTGTTAAGTGGTTACTGGAGCCCATAGACATCTACAACATAAATGCGCCACCCACATGAGATATAAGTTCTAAGGTCTCAGTATAGTTACAACGGCTACCCCACCCTTCAAACCGAAACGCATTACTGTTTCACGGCAGAAATAGGCAGGGCGGTGGTACCTACCCATGCGGACTCACAATAGGTCCTACCACCAGTGACTATCAGGACCATTTACTGTTACACCAAAGAAGCTAAAATCAAGTTCTATAGTATTATATTAATTGTTAGCTTTCTAACGCATTTAATTAAGAAAAAACTAGGTTATGTAAAGTCGTCAATAGCTGAAGAACTTGGCACGTGACCTTAGAACTCATGCCTCAAAGTGGGTGGCGGCATTTACGTTGTAGATGCCTATGGGCTACCGTAACAACTTAACACCAGGTGGGCCGTGAGCTCGTCCATCCATCTAAGCAATGTAAAAAAAAGTGCTTACGAACTACATACTTCGATAATGGTGGTAGATTGTATTGTACATTAACCAGGTCATCAGGGAGGTATAAACTGTCTAATTTTTCTAAGGAGCGGCCATGTCTTAACGGTAAAAGGGTGGGATAGCAATTATACATTACAACTTGAGACTCACGTCATCTCATGGTGGGAGGCGGTATTATAATTGTCTATGGCCTCCAGCGACCACAAAGTTAGGCGGACGGTGATCGCATTAAACCACCTAAGCAGTAAAAAATAAACTAAAGAACCCTGAATTTTAGCTAGAACTTCAATTTTGAGTTCCTAACCCGTAAAAACTAATATTTAGTATATGAAACTTAATAAAGTCAGTCAACAGTCTTCAAAACTAGAAAACTTGAAGTAGGTATTGAAATTGTCGTGGCATGCTGGATAAAACGCCCGGTACATTCGTGTCTAGCGAAACGACAGTACCCGTGTTCGAATCCCGCGAGCAGGGGCCATTATTTCTAATGAAATACGTGATTAACAAATGTTCACGAATTGCTTTCATGATGAAAGAAGAGCATTGTGTTTTGGAAGTATTGCGTCTTGGAAGCCCGCTCGCGTAGGTACCACCACCCCGCCTATTTCTGCCGTGGAGCAGTAATGAGTTTCGGTTTGAAGACTGGGGCAGCCGTTGTACTAAAAAACTGGAATTTAGAACTCATGTATAATGGTTTTAGTATTTACGTTGTTAATAACTGGGCTCCGGTGACCACTTAAAACTATGTGCGCCGTGCGTGAGCTCGTCTACCAATTATAGCAATAAAAAAGAAAGATTTGATACGAGTGCCGCTAAAAATAAAGCGTTATGAAGCATAAATTGAAGAAGACAATCACAGAGTATTTCAAATTTTTGTAAAAACAATCTCGGACTAGTTTAAGTCACTGACGAACACAGTATTGAAATACAAACATGATTAGACTTTTAAAAACGATGACGCCCGCAGTGTGACCCGATTGTGTTTGTGGAATAATTATTTTAATATTTTCTAGTTCGAGTACTTTTCGACGTCATACCCAATAATTAGTTCTTATCATCTTAACGAGAGTGCTAAATTAGACAGTAGCGTATTACCATAGTAATAAGTATTTGTACAACATATTTATACTATATTTGGATATTAAAAAAAAAAAAACAATCGATACTTCGACAATATTTTATCCAACGAACAGAAAAATTTCACCTTCAGGTCTTTTGGAAAGCAATAAAGTCAATGACAGGTATTGGCACACCGTACATTGGATCTGATGCTTAGGGCATGTTTTGCCGAGCGCTTCAAGTCAGTCAGTCACATTCTAAAGAATAGTAAGTAACCAGTAGCGCGCGCTTGAACACAGCAGACGCGCGTATGAACGCACGCGCACATTATGATAATAATATTACGATATTTATTTTTAAAGAAATACTTTTTTTAATTTTTCCCGAAACGAATTATAGCGCCCTCGTTCAACAATGGAGCATTCGATGGAAGCCAAAACGCAGGTTGGTGCTTATTGTTTTACGTTTTAGTCCTAGGTACCGTTTTTATTTAATTAAAATTTATGTAGATAATGTTTGCGTGCCGTTCATCAATGCTGCGAATTGGTATATGACATTTTGTTCATAGTACATAATGTAATAATTATTATTAAGATTGTGCTAAGCAACATTCGATTAACATGTACAAAATTAAATATTCATTTATTTACTTTGGGTGAATTTTTAGTGGCATTTTATTCTTAGGTGCAGAATGAGGTTGAATTTCGATTGCTATCCAACTAATTAAGTATTTAATTATTCTTCGAAACGATGCTCGGAAATTTATGGTTTCTAATGATAATAACGTGGTTTTGAGTTTTTAGATTAGCATTTCTCATTCTTAATTATAATAACACAATTGAGACTTCAACCTGTCGGGTTAAAAGTATTCTGATGTAAAAAATCTAGTTTATAATTTTACTAGGCTACAATTTCTCTTCATTAATTACTTAATTGGAATAAATGTTGGTGTTCCCAATATCGAGGTGCAATAAATAATAATTAGTCAATAGTTAGTCAAAATAATAGTTTTGAAAGTCCAAATTTTACTCATATTCCACAGGTTTACGATGCATCAAGCGAAATTTAAAAAAAAAACAACCGTGCGAATCAATCTATACTTTAAGTTTGAATTTTTGAGTCAATTATTAAAAGTTCAAATAATTTTATAAATATACGAACGTGCTTTCCATAGGATCAACTATTCAATATTGAACAGTCATCAATCAGGTTAACTTTGTGCAATATTCACGAGCTCTGTCTGTCCTTTTCAAAATTGCATTTTATTATTGCCATATACTGAGTGTATGCTTTAAATAAATTTATTACAAATGCTAAATTTACTTTTAACAATAGCCGCATATGATCTCAAAAAGAACGGAGAACTGTTTACAAATGGGTTAAAATATAATCCTTTTGTTACGCTCGAAATTCATATTTGGTTGACGAATTAAACAAATAAAAGGCTATTGTGATTTATACCAAGGTTAAGTTGATGCAATTTAAAGTAAACATCATTATTAATTTCAATAATAATTTCAAAGCAACACAGAGAAAATTTTTGTTATCCAGTTCTTACAGTTTTAACAATTCATTACAGTTTTTATATTCGGTAAATACTGTGTCGCATTTACACGAACTGTTTGTTTTGACAACATAACTTTTTTGTTTAAAATCTCCATACCATTTAAAACATCATATTGCGTATCTTGACAATGCCCATAAATGCACATTTACGCAATATTTTGATAGACACATCTTAGCTAATCATATCAAGGATCTGCTCATGCAATAGCCTCAAACAAAATTAATTATTTGTATGAAGAAACTAATTATACATACTGTCTACGTGCAAATGGTGTGCTGTTTAATTTCCTTATTGAATCAATCTCGTAATTAATTAAAATCTTGCCGTCACATTAACCTCTATGCTACTATTATTATTTTTAAAATGAAAATCTGATGTGCATTTATATGCCGAATATATAGGTATTATGTATATTATATGGCGAATAAACTTTACTAACTCAAATAAACTAATCATAGACTAGATATTTTTATCTCTTTTTATCTTCCTATTTAAAACACTTCCATAATTATCTTAGACAGATTTTATTACGGATTTCTCTTACAGTAATGAACATTAAAATACTATTAAATAAAATTTTAGATTGACGAATTTGATATGCATTTCGGTATTTACACCAATAAAATATTAAGGTTCATTTAAAGTCTGGTCCATAAAAAAATACTTTTTGGGCAAGTCGAGATCCAGCGGACAAGTAAAATTTGAAGTGGTTTTTTAATTTACAATTTTAAGAAAATATTTATTTAACACACTAAGCAATAAACGTATAATAATTAAAAAGCAATTATTCAATGTTAAAATGTAAATAAAATGGTTAATTAACTGCTTATCAATAACTGACATACCTAATATATTAGAATCTTAATCTCTCGGGCGGCCGAATTATAAAAATGCGAATTTGTAACCTACCGAAATTGGGTACATAAAACGCTATTTAATATAAGTAATTTAACATAAATACTTGTCATACTAATAACAGAACGAAGAAAACATTACAAGGAAACAGGTATAGAATAAAATGTTTAACAAATATAATAGTTTTTTAAAGTGTTATAATAATAATAGTAATTAATATTCATTCTTAAAATTATAAAAAGTACACTTTACACTGCGATCTCAAAGTAATCTTCAGTGTAAATTTAATTATTTTAGTAATTAAATAGATAGATTGTTGGCTTATGACAAATAATTAATGTATACTACGACGTAATTAAAACTCTCTAGAATTAATCAATGAAAAAAATGCCATTTTTAATTTTAAGTTAAGTAACGATTGCGAATCTTTTCAGGAAATATTTTTTATGGACAATTTTAAAATATTTATGTATTTTACTGTAATGTAATATACCATTTTTGTTTAAATCTAAAAGGTTTTTTTCCAAATAAACTGAGAAGCTGGCGGATTAACATTGACAATAACCCATCTAAAACTAACTACCTAAGTACACGGTTGAAATTAAATAAAAACAATAGGTAATTTTTGTAATCATCCTTTGTGAGATTTATTTATATTATATTTATATATAGGCTTTAGGATTAGGCTTTAGGGTTATAGGCTTTGACTTATAATACGTATATACATCGATTGAGAAATAGTTTTTGTACATGTTCGGTTTTGTGGTACAATCTAGTTTATCATGTGGTTATCTATGATACTTGAAAGATAATTTGAATTGTGTCTGGTGATGCAGTAGTTAGCGGCCCTGACTGTTGCCCCAAGGGTCGTGGGTTCGATTCCCACTTCGGACAAATATTGGGTGATGAACAGGACTGTTAGCTCTTTGTCTGGGTGTTTATTATCTATATATGTATTTATAAGTAAGTATTGTGGCGAAACATGTAATTCCGTCACGCGCATGCGCGACCGAACGAATCTAGGAGGCCATGATCTCCGCCATTACAAAAAAAAGTATGTTTGTCAGTCTTTGGTACCTATAACACAGGGAATCATAAATTGAGGTCGGATGACCGGGCGAGATTCGTCTCTGATATAAAATATATACCCGCTTCGTAAAATATTATAATTTGCATTGTATCATCGTGTTGTTTTGTCTTCGTGAGCCGAAGGAATCCCGGAGTAGTTCGAGAAGTTTATTCACTCATACTTACGTATACATAATTTATTAACAATGTATCTTGGTTATTTGTGCCGCGATAGTCTTACGTAACGGCTTGTAGGCCGTGACAGCCGGTAAATTATACGATGCAAATCAAACTTCGACTACATATCTGAAGGTAAATCGAGGCATGCATGTTGTGATGATAATGTTATCTATGAGTGCTGGCAACCATTTTACACACAAGGTGGGCAGCAAAGTTTTCTTACACAATTAAAAAATCATGATAAATTAACGTATAGTAGGCAATAGTTGAGTATTATTTGAATTTGTAGTCTATGATTCGTATTTACGGCAATAAAAACCATCATTTTATTCTCAAGATCGACGTCATTAAAACTCTAGTCACAATCATTCCACGATAACCTTCGCTGTGATGCCTCAGGAATGGCTTCACGTATCCGATCATCGTGAAGTTAGTAAACAACCTTCAAACCGCAACAGCCGACAGAACTGTTAGATTTGAGAGACAGCGTCGAGCGACGTCCGACCGTGACGTAATAGTTAGGCGCCCATTTTACTCGTATCGAGTGACGTCACTATCTTGGGCAAACCCTGAAACACATGCCAGTGTCTAATAAGTAATTCAAAGACTGTGAAGTAAATGAATCTTGTATAGAAATTGAGTTCCATGTTAGATTGTTTGAACAATCAACAAGAACAATGAACGAGAAAAATATTGAAAAAACACGGCTTATTAGCTTGGGGTATGTAAGTTATACCTAGCCCTGCTTTTCTGAACTTGGTTTTAATTCTGAAGTGAGTCTCGTTGCGTATCATAGTGAGAAATAAGATTATTGCGTTTTAAAATCTGGATCAGTTTTGAGGCAAAGGGTGACGTGGAATACAAAACCAATAATAAAATTGTCGATGCTTCTAAGGCGTAGTCACATTGCTTATTGTTTGCTCAAGCACTTTCAGCAATGCCTCGCCTGAGATGTCGAGCGCAGATATCCAAGTAACGTCTAGACATTCTCCAATTATCAAAACAACGAGTAAAAATCATCTTCTGCTTCAAAGAGATGCTCTGAGGAATTGTTCGAGATGATACCGGCATCTCGTTTTTACCATCGCACCGCCCGCTACCGGAGTAGAGTTCATCCATACTACCTGGAGCCACTGCGGTCATCCACGGTGCGTTTCCAGAGGTATTTTTTGCCACGTACCATCCGGCTATGGAATGAGCTCTCCTCCACGGTGTTTCCCGAGCGCTATGACATGTCCCTCTTCAAACGAGGCTTGTGGAGAGTATTAAGCGGTAGGCAGCGGCTTAGCTCCGCGCCTGGCATTGCTCAAGTCCATGGGCGACGGTAACCACTCACCATCAGGTGGGCCGTATGCTCGTCTGCCTACAAGGGCAATAAAAAAAAATGGGAGCTAATTTTAGGAAATTCTTAGTATTGGAAAAATGTTATTGCATTCGAGATTTGCACTCAAGGCGTCGACAATTAGATATGATAATCGCCTACCATCACGTCGATTACTACATCGTTTGTCTGTCTACACACTAATTATCTACAATTATTAATGACAAATGGAGTAATAATGACCCAACGAACCGTATTTGATTAGGTAAAGGTGTTGATTTCGTTGATCTTTTATGTTCATGTACAGTGTACCGTGTACGTATACATAATATTATGATCAACGGTGTGGTAGGACCTCTTGTGAGTCCTCACGGGTAGGTACCACCTACCCTGCCTATTTCCGCCGTGAAGCAGTAATGCGTTTCGGCTTGAAGGGTGGGGCAGTCGTTGTAA